ATTTCGTAATATGTTTTGCCTATACTTTATAATGTATGAAATACTGCTTTATGATATATAAATAGTTTATATAGATTAATAAGATGAAAAATTAAGAATAGCCAAATGTGAATAATATGGAATATTAATTTTAATAATTCATGTTCATGTAGACAGCCTGTACTGTCTGCGCAGACAGTCCCTGCTGTCTGCCAGCTTAGTTCATATTTCGCTGCATTTTAGGTGCTGCCCTCTGTAGGCTCACCCACGTCAGTGGGAGGCTGAGCCCACCGGCCCTCTCTCCTAGGCCGACCCTCTTGATAGACACAAGTGCTCCCCCTCCACGGACTGGCTTGCGGTCACTCCCTCACACTGCCCGTTGTGTACTCACTCCTACCCAATTAAAGCCAAACTAGTCCACGGCCGTATCATTGCTACCTACGCTACCTTCATCGGCACTAAACCGCTGTTCAGCAGTAAGAACAGCAATAACATTCACAGCAAAACCCGTGTAGAGTCATTCAGCTCAAGACGTGTGGAGCCTCGATCCTCCGTCTGCTGAGCGCCAGACAGACCTACGAGGTTCCTATTTGCCTGGTAACATAACCGAAGATCACAGGATCGAACCTAAAGCATTAACACGAATAATTTGGGAAAGAGTTGCATCTGAAACAAGTAATGAAATTAATTCTGAGTAGTAAACTAAGCACAAAACACTATAATTTCTACTCCAAGTAACTCTTACCAGCAATGGGTGCTCCAATTAGAGCACCGATGCCTCCAAGGAAGAGAATATGTCCAAAGACAGTTATGAGTTTCTCTCTGCCGAACACCATGGACGGAGCAACAGCGATAAGAACATTTTGGCCACCATAAAGGAATCCAAAGATTCCAGTCAGCACCAATAGCTGAGTGCTGGTCGTGATGAACATGTGACCAACTACCACCACTGCACACAAGAGCAGTGCCATCCCATACGCAAACACAGAGTCGATCCACTGTAACAAAGCAATTTTTTTGACTGTCAGGGTACAATTTTTGTGAATCAATAACACTGAAGCATAGCCAGTAACATCAGCATCAAGAATCAGTATGTGTTCCATACTAAAGCAAAATGCTGCACTTGAAGCGTTCTTTCATTCATAGTAATCACGAAAATTCAAGACTGTTTTAATATGAGTTTCACTCACAGTATTGTACTGCACTGCATGTGTAGCACTGTACACTCTGATTACATGTACTGCAGTGGCCCATCAAGAGGGTGGTGAAGGGCTCTTGATCAAAGGAATTAGAGCCGTAAGGTGATTACTTCCCATTCCCCATGAGTTGTATGACATGTCATTAGCCCTTCCCATGAATATTGTAAAAAACATACAATAACAGTAAGTCATAATAAGAATAATAATAATTACTAATGTGAGCACTCACAAATCTACTTATTGTATTAAAAACACAAAGGTAAACCAACGTAGATGTATTTCCCAATACAATACTGTATTGGAAATAAAGCATCTACTCTCAGCGACAACCTTGATATGCAAATTTAAAAAAATCACAATCACAGATGAGAAAATCGCTCATCGTCATCTTTGTCTCGACCTTCTAATATAATTAAAAATACTTAAAACGAAACTTTATGGCGACAAAAGTAATCCTGGTAAAATTATGCCATGAAACATTGATGTTTCTAATAAGGATCAGTATCAAGTTATTATCCATCTCTGGAGAATGAAATTGTTCGTCCACATCAAACATTAAATGAATATGATATTAGACTCAAATATTTATACCCTACCGTAAATATTTATGATTTTGTCTCTCAGTGAAACATGATAAACTGTACCGTTGTCCTTATTCTTTTAAAAACATAGACAGATCTACAAGTTTTTTTCTTACAGATGTTTACTTATCATACCTAACGAAAAACGTGTAATATTACAGAAATTTAATGGGATTACGGTAAATAGAACATAAACATTCTCAAACGTAATTACGGAATTACATATATTCCGATCGACACCATGCCCAGCCTTTCTAGGGTAGGGTAGGTGCCTGAGCCCGAGCCTTTAGCTCATAAGACTGTCATTCCCATTAGCCCCCTTGTGGCGGGGATGGCAGACCAGAGAGGCCTCGCTTGTGGCTAGGCCTGGGGACAGTTGGTCCCAAAGATGAGGAGGTACTTGTGCCTCCTCCCATGGGAGACTTAGGTCTCAGACACTCCCTAAAGAGGGAGCCAAGGCCGGGCCACCATTTGGAAAAGGCCCGGACCGGGAGAATACCGGCTAATCTTTAATAATAATACATATATTCCTAGTCATTTACAAAAATATAGTCATTTTATTTCATATCTACCAAATTTTGAAAAGTATAACTATTTAAAATTATCTCGAACAAAAAAAAGTGGGCAACTTACCTCCATATTCATTAAGAAACCCGTAAACATTCGACCACAAAGATCTCCAATACCAATACCAGAAAGAGCTATTGAATAATAGTCTCCTAGACCCATGTAGTCTGCAAAATCTTTATAAATAATGTAGAGACATAGAGTTCCCAACATTGCGAAGAAGACAGCGAAGTCCATCAGCCAGAACCTCACATCAAACAGAGGATGGTTCGTCGATTTTCTGTAAAAATATTAAAATCATGATATAATTGTCCTCTGTAGCGGAAGAATGAGATATATATTCTTAATTAACTTACTGTCTATCGACACTTAGTAAATAATAGATGTCAGATATTATTTCTTTCCCTTACGTTATTCAAGGTTTCCGTGCGATAAATTGAAAATGTCTATGCGGACAGGCTTCAAACTTTCACTGCTGGTTTATGATTCTCATTTACTCTGTTTTCTATTAGATTTTGTACCGTAGGTGCCATTTTACTATTGTTTTTATATCCTATGTTAAGCCGACTTCATATTCACCAACACTAAGGACCTGGTCCGGGACGTGACGGTGTCAACGACTTTAATCTCAGACCACATGATTTAAGGTTCAGACCTTCGTGCACAGTCGTCTAGGACAGATAATAGCTCACTTATGAGAGCGAATTCAATAAATTTATTCATTCAGACCATCAATTGTGACCAAATAAATCATGACTAACGAGAAGCGCTGGAAGACGATACCAACACCAGTAAGTACCGCAGGAGAATGAGATCATTGGCTCAGGAAATATGCAAAGGAGAGGCAAACTCGATATATTTTCTGACTAGCTGGGCTGTGGTTCGTACGCTGCACTGCGTGCGGCCAGCTGTAACAGCTTGGTTGATCAGGCCCTGATCCACGGGAGGCCTGGTCTATGATCGGTCCAAGGGGGACGCTGAATCCAGGAAGCATTCTTCAGATACCCTTCAGATAAGGTCTGAAATTGGGTACGGGAGGTCGGATCACTTGCAAGCATGATCAAGGGAGCAGGTGGTGTTGGCGACCTTACCCGTCCTTAAGTTCTTCAAGAACCCTGGATGAGTGTCACCTCCCACCAGTATCATACTCACCTATGACCTACCAGCAATAATTCCCCAAAGTTAAATCACTTCGAAGTGTGAGCCACGAAAATGTGTTTCAACTTAGTGCATCCGTAAAGAGATGATTGTAACTGTTGTTACCTAGTATAACCATTAAGGAAAAGTGTAACTGTTATCACCAGGTATAACCATAATGGGAAGACTGTAACTGTTATCACCTAATAAAACCATTATGGGAAGACTGTAACTGTTAATACAGTAAATGGATAACTGCAGGTGGGGAGACAGTCAACAAGTCAGTCACTTCTGAGTCTTCTTCTCTGAGGAGGTCCTACAGAAGCGATATTATTAAAGTTGTAATATCAAGCTTGGAGACTGGACGCCAGGACAGTCATGTCGTCCATGACTTACGGTCGCCCGTGGCCTGGTAGTTAAAGCTCTCGCTTCACACGGCGAGTATCCAGGCGAAAAGAATTACCAGGCAAATACGAAGAAATTTTAAAAGAAAATATTAAAAAACAAAGTAGTAAGAACAAATTCATGATACTGAAATCTGTAGAAGTTAGAAAGACATTTAATAAAGCGCGTCTTCATTTATTTTTCTTACAGTTGATCAAAATAACGGGTGAAGTCTCGTTGTCTGTGTCATTATTACACTAAATAATAAAGTACGAGGATGTCTGGGAAATCATTATTCCACAGAGTGAATGTAATTCCAAAACTTGAACCATGAACATCCCAGAAGTTATTTCTCCTGTGATAAATCCATTTACAAATGTTAAATATTGTTTTACCGCGTAATAATCGTTGTATTACCTGGCAAAGCTGCTAATAACAGTTTGTGAGCGCAGCTTCATCTTCTCCATCAGCAGCACACATAGAGATCTTCTCTTAATCTGAGGTGTTGCCTGTCGATAAAAATATTTTATTAATACAACTTCAATGTATAACACAAGTCACACACACACACACACACACACACACACACACACACATATATATATATATATATATATATATATTTTATATATATATATATATATATATATATATATATATATATATATATATATATATATAAATCTTTCTTTCAACACACAGGCAGTATCCCACCGAGGCAGGGTGGCCCAAAAGGAAAAACAAAAATTTCTCCTTTTACAATTAGTAATATATACAGGAGAAGGGGTTACTAGCCCCTTGCGCCCGGCATTTTAGTCGACTCTTACGACACGCATGGCATACGGAGGAAGAATTCTGTTCCACTTCCAATATATATATATAATATATATATATATATATATATATATATATATATATATATATATATATATATATATATATATATATATATATATATATACAAAATGCAAGAAATTCGCAAGAGCAGGCGAAATATACACAAACACTGATCTCTGGCCGAAGGAGACTCGAACCTACGAATCTTGGAACAAGGTACGCAGTGCTTTACCATTCTCACCACACTGGACCAATACCTTGGTGTCCAGCTTGCGCTAGACGTTAATCCAAGGCAGCCAGCTTTCAGGGAGAAGGCTTTTCATCTCATCCCCTGCATGCATCAGCCTTACTAGAGATTTTAGCAATTTGGTTACCTGTGACATAATATTACAGCTCTGACAAAGCAACTCACACCTGATCAAGTCTTGTTCGACTCCATCTCCGCCAGTACGTCACTCCTCACACTAAGCTGATATTAATTACGAGATACACTTCAGGTAGGTAACTTATTATCTAGATAAACAATACCGACAAATTTTCGTAGGAAATCACTTAACTATGGTGACGCCGTCTATAAATATTGGAATATGTATAAGCAAGAACCTTTAATAATTAATGAGTCATTCTGGAATATAATGAGAAAGGTTACCGTGTGTACGTCACTTAACGACCGTTGTTCTTCCTCTTCTTCATCACAACAACTAAGGTCACAGTCCCCCTCACGTACAAGGAACCGAGCACGACCTCCGCCATATCCAGATCCAGTAGCCTTAAGACTCTCCACTTCTCTCTCTGAATGGTGACAACTGTGAAGTTGCTGATACAGGTCCAGCTGTGACGTCCTACAGAAACTTTGAGGGTTTGACTTGATGCCGCTGACACCAGCCTGAGAAAGATGCAGTGAACTTGCATGATTAAGACAGTAACTGAAGGTTAATTGGGAATATAAAATAGAAATATGTATCTTGCCCATAATGTTAAGAAGAAATCTGTTACTTTAAGTACTGCAAACTCCAATAGCAGCCGATTTATTTTTTATCTTCCTAAATATACCAAGATTATCTGGTGGAGTATATTCTAGATGCTTATAACTCAAACAGTAAAATCACTTCCTCGGAGCTAAATTATTTATCACGTATGTTTCGTGTTTTTTAATAAGTATTGTTAATAAATCTAATTAAATGCATTATATTTTGAATGACCTTGATGCACATAATTGTTCCTTAATTATGCAGATGATCATGACATTAATAAATAACAAAGAACAGAATTGATGCTTCAAAACTGACACACTTATTTTAAGAATAAATATAACTAGATGTTGATCTTTCAGAGAGACAGATAATAATCCTATAGTAGGGATTTTGTGACCCTCAAGTGAGAACACTCGTGTAGCACCACAGTTTGTGACCCTCAAGTGTGAACACTCGTGAAGCACCACAGTTTGTGACCCTCAAGTGTGAACACTCGTGAAGCGCCACAGTTTGTGACCCTCAAGTGAGAACACTCGTGAAGCGCCACAGTTTGTGACCCTCAAGTATGAACACTCGTGAAGCGCCACAGTTTAGTTTCTTGTTTAAGATGCTTCTTACATTAATTGCGTTGGAGACTCCAGTGGAATATCTACGTTGATTGCCTGTTATTCTGAAGCTGTGAAAATTGTCCACAATGTTTGGCCAGACAGGTGCTGTGTCCCTGGCTAACAGAACCAGTGAAAGGAATTGATTTATACAATCTGTAGCCTAAGATAATCTCCATAAGCCAATAAGCCACGGGCTCTAGAGATAAGTATGGGTGCCATAGGTGATACACTTGTTATTTTTTTTGTTGGTTTAAAATTATGAGCTACGATAGCTTATGCAGTAGGAGCCCTTATCCAAGAGTTCTGATGTTTAAAAGTTTGCTTAGCGTTTAAATATGGCCCGACTCGCCCGTTGGGATGGAGAAAGGAGTAAGTAGCACGTAAAATATGAATATGCCTGTGTTCTGAAACCAGAGCTGTTGAGAAGAAATGTGAACCGGAGAATGAATGACAAATCCCGTGTTTGAGCTTAGTCCTGGTGGTGTCCAGTTGGGGCAGAATAAAACCTTGAACAGTAGAGTAGAAAGTGTTTAATTCTATCCTCGAATGGGGCAGGAAGTGCAGTTCGGGTTGTTCACTAGGTGTGACTGGAAGAGATGTGCCACCAGACAGATATGGCCTGTACATGGACTCACTCTTGCTACATCAAGGAGACGATCTTCAGCACCAGTTCAAGGGCTCTTTAGAAGCACAGGTGAGTGACAGATACTCAGAGCTGAGGGCTGGCGCAGTCTGACAGCCCAAGTTCAAAATAAAAAATCAATATTTTTTTCCTTGTCAAGCTTACAGTGTGTGGCTTACATGTTATAAAATATTAATTACAAAGAAGGCCACTAGTATGCCTAGGCTTTTCGGGCAGACTAATACTAATTCTTACTCTATATTGATATAGGTTATGGAGCAGTACATTTGAACATATATTACATAATTAGATGCATACCCAATTAGGTACATACATAATTAGATTTATAACAGTGAGGTACATATCACATAATATTACAAATGGTAAATTTAGTAATGGGACTATTTGTCTTGGCATGATACATTGTTTCTGTCAGAGCTGCTGTACTCGGAGAGTATCTTAGGCAAACTTACGACTAACTTAAGATTTAATAGGCAATAGCTACATTAGGAATTTTGTGTTTACATTCATTTGGGTGAGTGTAAGTGTAAATTAGAGTTAATTAGAGATAATGAGAGTAAGACTAAATTGTTTTGGACGTGTTCATGATACAATAAAGAAAATTAGGTGGTTTTCATATAGTCAGCTGATGATGGGGTGTGTTAGGGAGATAAGATGTTTTTTAATGGTAGTTTTGAAAATGGTTGAGTCTGCAGTTCTAGAGTTTTCAGACAGGGAGTTCCAGAATTTTTGTGGAGGTTTAGCCGGACACGCGGAATGTCATAGAGATTTTTGTGTTTGGTATTGTGTCTATGGGTCCTGCTGCAACTATCAAAAAAGTGTTTTAGTTCAGGATTAATATTAGAATTTATGGATCCACAGATGTAGGTTGCACAGTAGTAGTTGTGGGTGTTCTGTACAGTAAGTTTATGTCTTTGAAGAGAGAGGAGGGGGGGATGCCTTGTATTGGATTGCATGATAATTCTTACTGCGGCTTTATGTTGGGTTATTATTGGCTTTAGGTGTGTTGTTGCTCTTCATCCCCAGGCACAAATAACATAGGTGAGATAGGGATAGATGAGTGAGTAGTACAGTGGGAGTAGAGCTGATTGTGATACGTAGTAACGTATCTCGGAGAGGATCCCAACCGTTCTGGATATCTTTTTTGTTGTGTTGGATATGGGTGCTGAATTTCAGGTTGTTGTCGAGGTGTAGGCCCAGGAATTTGCCCTCATTATGTTTAGCAATAAGAGTGTTGTCAATCTTAATGTTCAGTTGTGCAACTCCTGCTCTGCTACCAAACATAACACAGGATTTGTCAGTGTTAAGTGTAAGTTTATTGGTGGTCATCCAGGTCGATATTTTTTGTAGCTCCTCGTTAACAATGGTGCTGAGGGTGGCAAGATTCGGGTGAGAGATGACCTAAGTCGTGTCGTCAGCAAAGAGATTTGGTTTCAGTTGTTGTGATAGATTGGGAAGATCATTGATGTATAAGAGGAAGAGCAGGGGACCAAGGACACTTCCCTGAGGCACTCCAGTATCAAGCTGAAGACAGCTTTCGGTTCCCGGAGAACCAACAAGGTAATATTTTCTTTATATTTTACTAAAAGTATTACCTTAAATCAAGTAAATATTTACAAATATGTTTAGCTTATAATAAACGAACCACAGACTATTATAAGGCAAGAAAACACATGAAGCTACGAGAATAAAAGACTAAACACACACACACACACACACGCACTCACACACACACACACACACACACACACACACACACACACACACACACAGAGTTGTTAGGAAGTGGAATAGTCTGGCAAGTGATGTAGTGGAGGCAGGAACCATACATAGTTTTAAGACAAGGTTTGATAAAGCTCATGGAGCAGGGAGAGGGAGGACTCAGTAGCGGTCAATGAAGAGGTGGAGTCAGGAGCTGAGTCTCGACCCCTGTACCAAAAATTTTATTTGAGTACTCTCTCTCTCTCCTCTCTACTCTCTCTGCCTCTTCTTTACATTTCTCTCTCACTCTCCATCTCCCTCTCTCCATTTCTCTCTCTCTCATCTCACTCTCTCTCTCACCTCTCGTCCAATTCTCTCTCTCTCTCTCTCTCTCTCTCTCCATCTCTTTCTCTCTCCCTCTCTTAATCTCTTTCTGTCCCTTCACTCTCTCTCTTTTCTCTCTTTTTTTTTTCTCCCTCTCCCTCCCTTCCTCCATTACCCCCTCGTCTCCTTCATCCTCCCTCCCTCCCTTCCACCCTTTCCTTCTAGCCCCCTTCCCACTCTTTCTCCACACCCTCATCACTTTCACTGTCTCCCCCTCCCCTTCCATCTCTCAAAGAAAAAGGATGGTGGCTCAGAAGGGAAATCGATGGCTCAGAGGATCGGAGGAAAATGGTTCTGGTAGGGAAGAATGGATGGAAGAACAATGTAAAAGGATGGAGCAAGAGTGGGGGAGCAAACTAGGTGGGCTTTCTGCAAAAATTGAGAAGAGGATGGAGGCAGAGAAGAAGAAATAGAAGTTGGAAGCCAAAGCTGCAGAAGCCAGGGTAAGGGCCCTAGAATATGAAGTAAATACTCTGAAGCGAGTTACAGGGCTAGTGCCAAGAGATGACATAGTACCTGAAGCAGGTACACCCATGCTGGATGAGGAGCCCAACAGCAAGGAAGGAGACATGACTTATGCTAAAGTTTTATCAACCAACAAGCAGGGCTGAGGAATGAAGGGGGAGAGCAGTTGGGACCAAGGATAGCAGTGGCAAAGGGTGGAGAGAGGGTTATATCCTATGCAGAGGCACGACCATGCCACCAAGAACTATAGGAAAAAATAAGAGAAACAATGGACATGTACAAATGGGACCCAGAGGCACAGAGGGAAAGAATGGGAGGAGGAGAGGGAAAGGTCAGTGTTCATTCATGGGCTTCAGGAAAGCAAGGGAAGGACGCACAATGAAAGACAGCAGAAAGAAAAATAGGGTATTCAAAACATCATCAAGGAGGAGGACATGAATGAGATAGTAAGTTTTCAAAGAACAGATGGGTACTTGAAAGGGAGAAATCATACGGTCAAGCTGATTTTCAAGACGAAAAAGTATGAAACAGGATCCAGCAAGAGAAACCACGGCTGAAGGAATCATCAACATACAAGAGGGTGTTCCTAGACCGAGACAGAATAAAAACAGAACAGCAGCAGCTGAGGTAGAGGACACAGATGCAAAAGGGGCTGGGAAGGGAGGCAAGGACAGAATCAGCAGAGGACAACCAGAGCAGGGCAGAGCAACAAGCGTAAGCACACACAGAACCATCCCACAACCAAACACGCTATCCCGACACAAACCACAATATACGCTTACAGCTCCCACCCCACACTACACCGTAGAATCCCACAGTGCACCATCAGGCCTCCCCACCCTCACAGACCCCCCAGAACACAGTGTTGGAGAGGAAACTGAAGGTATGGTGCACCAACACTGATGAATAACAAATAAATGGGAGGAATGGCATGAAAGAGTCAAAGAGGCATCACCAGACATCATAGCTGTCACAGAAACCAGGCTCACAGGAATGATAACAGATGCCATCTTTCCAACAGGATTTTGATGAGCTGGAGAGAGGAGACAGAGGAGAAGCAAGAGACTACATAATAGGACCACTTCAGTCTAGAGGTCCCAAGGTGGTAATTGCAGTGATGTATAACCCACCACAGAACAGTAGGAGGCCAAGGCAGGAGTATGATGAGAGTAAATAGAGTGATGGTTGACACACTAGCTGAGGTGGCAAGAAGGGCTCATGCGAGCAGGGCAAAGCTACTGATCATGGGTGACATAAACCACAAGGAAATTGGCTGGGAAAACCTGGAGCCACATGGGGGCACAGAAACGTGGAGAGCTAAGATGATGGAGGTGGTACTGGAAAACAAAAGTACATAAGAAAGAAGGAACACTGCAACAGGTCTACTGACCCATGTGGAGCAGGTCCATGACCCCCCCGATTAGCCCAATGACCCCCCTCTGGATTAGCCCAATGAAATCCCCCCCAGATTAGCCCAATGACCCACCCAGTCTGGCCACCTCCACTCAAGGAAGGAGCACGGCACCAGACCCAGCAGCACAAGCTAGTCAGGTTCAACTCACACCCACCCACACCCACTCATGTATTTATCTAACCTATTTTAAAAACTACACAACGTTTTAGCCTCAATAACTGTACTCGGGAGTTTGTTCCACTCATCCACAACTCTATTACCAAACCAGTGCTTTCCTATATCCTTCCTGAATCTGAATTTTTCCAACTTGAAACCAGTGCTGTGAGACCTAGTATTCTCCTTGAGTAGGGCAGACATTGGGGATATCACACATAAGAGCTCCCTAGGGGCCAGTGACCATGTGGTTCTGAGCTTCGAATACATAGTATAGTTACAAGTGGAGAGGGGAAACAGGAAGGGCAGGACAAGTGAAGCCAAACTACAAGAGAGGGGACTACACAGGCATGAGGAATTTCCTACATGGGGTTCAGTGGGACAGAGAACTGGCAGGGTAGTAAGTAAACGAGATGATGGGATATGTGACAACAATATGCAAGGAAGCTAAGGAGAGGTTTGTACCCAAGGGAAACAGAAATAATGAGAAAGCCAGGATGAGCCGTTGGTTTACCCAAATATATAGAGAGGCCAAAACTAAGTGTGCCAGAGAGTAGAAGATGTATAGAAGGCAAAGGAGCCAGGAGAACAAGGAGAGGAGTCGTAGAGCCAGAAATGAATATGCACAGGTAAGAAGGGAGGATCAACAAGAATATGAAAATGACATAGCAGCAAAAGCCAACTCTGACCCAAAGCTGTTGTACAGCCACATCTGGAGGAAAACAACAGTCAAGGATCAAGTAATCAGGCTAAGAAAGGAAGAAGGAGAGATCACAAGAAGCGACAACGAATTATGTGAGGAACTTAACATGAGATTCAAATAAGTGTTCACAGAGGAGACAGAAGGGACTCCAGAAAGAGGGAGAGGTGGGGTACACCAACAAGTGTTGGGCACAATACATACAACCGAGGAAGAAGTGAAGAGACTGCTGAGTGAGCTAGATACCTCAAAGGCTATGTGGCCGGATAACATCTCTCCATGGGTCCTGAGAGAGGGAGTAGAGGCACTACGTGTACCCCTAACAACAATATTCAACACATCTATCGACACAGGGCGACTACCGGAGGTATGGAAGACAGCAAATGTAGTCATAATTTTTAAAAAAGGAGACAGACATGAAGCATTAAATTGCAGATCAGTGTCACTGACATGTATAGTATGCAGAGTCATGGAGAAGATTATCAGGAGAAGAGTGGTGGAACACCTAAAAAGGAATGAGCTTATCAACGACAGCCAACACTGTTTCAGGGAAGGGAAATCCTGTGCCACAAATCTACTGGAGTTCTATGACAGGGTGACATCAGTAAGATAAGAAAGAGTGGGGTGGGTACATTGCATTTTCTTGGATTATAAGAAGGCTTCTGAAACAGTTCCACACAAGAGATTAGTGCATAAGTTGGGCCAGGCAGGCATAACAGGGATCAGGGAATACCTGTCGGGAAGACATCAGCGAGTCATGGTACGTGACGAGGTGTCAGAGTGGGCGCCTGCGACGAGCGGGGTTCCACAGGGGTCAGGCCTAGGACCGGTTCTGTTTCTGGTATTCGTGAACTACATGACGGGAGGAATAGACACAGAAGTGTCCCTGTTTGCAGATGTGAAGTTGATGAGAAGAATTCAATCAGAGAAGAACCAGGCAGGACTATGAAGGGATCTGGACAGGCTGCAGACCTGGTCCAGAAACTGGATCCTGGAGTTCAGCCCCACCATGTGCAAAGTCATAAAGATTGGGGAACGGTAAAGAAGACCTCAGACTGAGTACAGTATAGGGGGGGCACTCAAGGATAAGGATCTTGGAGCGAGAATAATACCGAGCACATCTCCTGAGGCGCACATCAACTAAATAACTGCTGCAGCATTTGGGCGCCTGGCAAACCTAAAAACAGCTTTCCGACATCTCAGTAAGGAATCGTTCAAGACTCTGTACACCGTATACGCTAGGCCCATACTGGAGTATGCAGTAGCAGTTTGAAACACACATCTAGCCAAACATGAAAGGAAATTAGGGAAAGTGCAAAGGTTTGCAACGTGACTAGTCCCGGAGCTAAGGGGTATGTCCTATGAGGAGAGGTTAAGGGAAATCGACCTGACGTCACTTGAGGACAGGAGAAACAGGGGGGACATGATAACATATAAAATACTGAGAGGACTCGACAAGGTGGACAGAGACAGGATATTCCAGAGATGGGACACACCAACAAGGGGTTACAATTGGAAATTGAAGACTCACATGAGTCACAGGGATGTTAAGAAGTATTTCTTCAGCCATAGTTTTGTCAGGAAGTGGAATAATCTGGAAAGGGAGGTGATGGAGGCAGGATCCATACATAGCTTTAAGAAGAGGTATGATAAAGCTCATGGTTCAGGGAGAGTGACTTAGTAGCGACCAGTGAAGTGGCGGGGCAAGGAGCTATGAATCGACCCCTGTAATCATAAATAGGTGAGTACATAACCACACACACATACACCCCTGCAACCACAACTACGTGAGTACACAAGTATTCTGCACCAGTTCGAATCCCACACCTGGTCAAGCACCTCTAGAAATTAGAGAAAGTGCAAATGTTTGCAACAAGACTAGTCCCGGAGAGGTTAAGGGAAATCGACCTGACGACACTGGAAGACAGGAGAGATAAAGAGGACATGATAACGACATACAAAATACTGAGAGGAACTTACAAGGTGGATAGGGCCAAAATATTTCAGAGATGGGTCACAGCAACAAGGAGTCACAATTGGAAGTTGTAGACTCAGATGAGTCACAGGGATGTTATGAAGTATTTCTTCAGTTATAGAGTTGTCAAGAAGTGGAATAGTCTGGAGAGTTATGTAGTAGAGGCAGGATTCATACATAGCTTTAAGAAGAGATATAATGAAGCTCACGGAGCAGGGTAAGAGTGGACTTAGTAGTGACCAATGGAGAGGCGAGGCCAGGAGCTATAAATCGACCCCTGCAACCACAAATATGTAAGTACACACTAACACAAACACACAGTATGTAAAATTATGGACAAGATTATCAAGAGAAGAGTGGTGGAGCACCTAGCAAGGAACAAGTTCAGACATGACAACCAACATGGCTTCTAGGAAGGTATATTCTGCTACTACTGCAACTACAACTACTACGAATATTACTATTACTACTACAACTACTGCTACTACTACTAATAATAATAATTAAGAATATTTTTTTCAACAACCTGGCAGTATCCCACCGAGGCAGGGTGACCTAAATAGAAAAACGAAAGTTTCTCTTTTTAAATTTAGTCATGTATACGGGAGAAGGGGTTACTAGCCCCTTGCTCCCAGCATTTTAGTCGCCTCTTACGACACGCATGGCTTACGGAGGAAGAATTCTGTTCCACTTCCCCATGGAGAATAATAATAATTATTATTAATATTAGTAGTGGTAACAATAATATTAGTAATAGTATTAGTAGTAGTAGTATAATAGTAGTAGAAGCAGCAGTAGTAGTAGTAGTAGTAGTATTTATTATTATAATCAAAAAGAAGCGCTAAGCCACAAGGGCTATACAGCAGTAGTAGTAGTAGTAGTAGTAGTAGTGGTGGTAGTAGTAACAGTAGTAGTAATGGTAGTAGTAGTAGTAATAGTAATTGTAGTAGTAATAGGATTATTATATAAACTGCTAAACCCGTATGGTTCATACAGCACCTGAGAAATGAAAGATAATCAGGTTTGATAGGAGAAAAGGGAAGATAAAGAAGTGTTCACCGTGGAGAGTCCGTGAGTTTAGCATGCTGAGAGGAAGTGAAGTAACGCAGGTGACATCTCTCTGACAACCACCACTGATGTACCTGGGCATCCCGGTGAGAAGAGAAGCTTGGGTAGTTAGAATGTAGACCAAAGTCCCCGTGAGAATCTTTGTTGTGAAAGCTGAACTGGTAGGATCGAAGGTCAAAGTGGGACAATTCAGCATGGGAGTCCTTATTACAGAAGCTGTAGCCATTGGACCTTGGGGAAAAATAGCATTGTAATCACTTATTGAAAGACCTGAAAATACTGTTCATCACATGCAGAAATACAATGAAATAGCCTCAGCCAGGAAGCTTTTTCTCAGCATATATGACTGAGGGATCACCAGCACTCGATGTATGTATTGCAACGAAATAAATCTTACTTATCTGCATGCATGAAATTATTTATGTCTAGAAATCTCTGAGCAATGGTGGGTTAATGGAGTTTAAAGCCAATCGACTACTATAAAGTCATTAAAGCTGCCCGGTACCTTTAATCTCTAAGATATAGATTCAAGGAAAGTCACAACTGTTATATACTGAGAGAAAACTTAAATATGTGATAAAGAATTTAGCATACTTGGTGTAAAAACAAAATAAGAATAAAAATCCTTGTAAATATTTTTGGCATAAATACACGAGCGAGGAACATTATGAGATGAAATGGAAAATGAAAAAGACGGGACAAAGAAGAAAGACGTAAGGTAAGAATGAGAAAACAAATGTGAAGTGTTGAATCTGTGTGGGACCAACAACAAAAGAATTGGTGAAGGATCGATCCTCCACCCACTGATAGTTGGGATAGTCATTCTAGCAGCCAGACTCCTCTATCAGAAAGCAAAATAGAAGATAACGAGGAATGGAATAATATAAAATATACCAGCCACGGGTACTATATAGTGTGTGTAGGTCATGAAAGATTTGCCAAAGAAAAAGTGGGTACACCTTCTACTTCCATTATGGAAAGTTCCACACATCTACAATTCTTTGCTAAACCATTACATCCCTATGTCCTTTTCACATCTAAGTTTCTCCATTGCTACCACTTCTTCTCATGGTTAGGTATTTATATTCCTTCTATTTATCCCCATAATTCTACGTTTTTTTTTTCAGCGAGTGAAAATTCAACGCCTTCAGCTTTTTTGCAAGATACATCTCTGATACAGGAAATCAGCTTAGTCATCCTTCTCTGTATGCTTTCCAGCGCATTTATGTCCATTCTGTACTATGGGGCAAGATCTGAGCAGCATAATCTAAATAAGACCTTACTAGTGACACATCATGCTGAAGTATAACCTGAAGATTTTTGCTATTTATACGTCTTGATAAGAAGTCAAGAATTCTGTTAGCTTTATAGCGAACACTTATGCACTGTTGTCTTGGTTCCAGATTACTGCCCCGATCCAGCAGATAATTTTCTTTACTCAGTGTGCTGCTACTTTCTTCAACGGTCCTGTGTGGTAGCCTATCAAAGGCCTTACTGAAATCCATATACACTATATAGTATTCTGAATCTTCATCTTCAACATCAAATACCTTAGTATGAAACTTTAGTAAATTTGTGAGTTACGGACGACCCTTCACAGAGCCGTGATGAAATTCATTTAAATTATATTTTTGAGGGTGGTTTCGAATTTCGTCTGCATCCATCAGCTTTTCTATGAACTGAAGTTAGGATGACTGGTCTGTAGTTTGAAGCTAATGCCCTATCTCCTGATTAGAAAATAGGAATGACATTTGCCATTGTCCACTTACCTGATACGATAAATGGATAATAGCTAATGGTTGTTCCTTACATTCCTTCATAAGCCTGGTCAGGGCCTGGTGACTTATTGGGTTTTAACTTATCTATTTATTTGAGGAGCATGTCACTATTGACTTTAATCTTGCCTAATATATTTTCGTCCTAACCTGAAAAAAATTAAGTTCTGAAATTTCATTTGTTTTGTGTAAGAACAGAAATGAAATTAAAATACTCACAAGTCAATACGATATTTCTGAATTGAAAATTAATTAGGCTTTTATAAAACGAAGCAATATGGAATCCCAAAACGTCTTGAGAACCTTAAGTCAGGTCAGGTGGGTTGGGTCAGAGTTAAGCCGGATAGTAGGCAGCCAGGTCCGGCTACGTCAGTTGCTGAGGCCCGCTGTTTGGCAGCTAAACACACACAACAAACTCTTCACTCACGAAATCGTAATAACACCATTGTAAACAAATCTTGATATCCCACAGTGAGTTGCCAATGGCAGCCGAGAAGCAAACGTTGTCGTGAAATCTATTACAGTTCGTTGATATAATGGTTGCAGAAGTGAAGTCTTCTATATACACGTGAAATACATTTTACTGTCAACGGATAAATTTATATTTAATCCAAACCGATTATAACAATCAATGCCATATGGTTTAGCTATAAATAGTTTAGCTAGTTCTGCAAAAAAATAGTAGGGAAACAAGTGTAGTCAAAGATAAGATAAAACCAATATTGCAAACTAGAAATACCGCAGGAAATAGCAAACAAGAGGACTCCAATAGCAATAGTGAGGATAAATTACCAAAAACAACTGGTGGGAGCTCCATTGTTGGTGCTAGGGAGGATAGGAGTAAGACAGGGAAACATGCACCAACAGGGAATACAGTCACAGAAACCCAAGGCAAACGGAAACCAAGCCTGTGCACATACTATGCACTTGGTATCTGCTGGCATGGGAAATCTGGAAAAACAGATGGGACATGCAACTATGACCACCCTAGAAAATGCCATGCCCATATGACAACAGGAAAATGCAAACTCCCTTCCTGTAAGCTTTTTCACCCTGAAATGTGTACCTCTTCAGTACAGGAAAGACTGTGCTATAACTTAAATTGCCAGGCATACCATCTAAAGGGGACAAAAAGATACCAAACATCCAGGCCATGGGAAAACCTGGGTAGCCACAGCCACTCAAGAGGGAGAGGTTTTTTAGTGCCAGGAAGGAAAAAAAACTGGCAGGAAATGGCAGAAAATCGTACACCAAATCCAGTCATTCCTGGAGTGGAACCACAGTCGATGGCCTCCACTCCAAACCAACAGATACAGATACTAATGCCGGAAAAAAAATCCCCCCCAGTACCAACAATACCACCAGTCCGATAACATTCTTCTTTGCAAATATACAGGGTCTAAAGCCAGCAACAAACAACAAAATACCTTTCATCCGTGGACTGCTTGCAGAGGCAAAGGCAATGTTCGCGGCTTTCACTGAGACCCACATAAAGGATCACTTGGACAACGAAATATGGATCCCAGGTTACAACCTATACAGATGTGACAGAGTGAACAGGCAAAAGGGGGGGGTTGGCCTGTACATTGCAGAGTCACTTGTTTGCACAGAACTGCTTAATCCTCAAATGACGTAGTGGAAGTTTTAGCAGTAAAGGTCGAGAACCAAAACCTAGTCATTGTGGTAGTCTACAAGCCTCCGGATGCAACACCCCAGCAATTCCAGGAACAGCTGTTAAAAATTGACCACTGTCTGTAAAATCTTCCAGCTCCTGCACCCAACATCTTGCTCCTGGGGGATTTCAACTTAAGGCACCTAAAATGGAGGAATATAGCAAATAATATTGTTGCAGTAATAACACCAGGAGGCAGCTCTGATGAAAACTCACACTCACACGAGCTTTTAAATCTCTGCACAAAATTCAATTTAAACCAGCAAATAATAGAGCCTACTAGACTGGAGAATACACTAGACCTCATCTTCACTAACAATGATGATCTGATAAGAAATGTCACCATATCAAAAACAATATACTCAGATCACAACATAATTGAGGTTCAGACATGTATGCGTGGAGCCCCAGACCGACAAAATGAGACGAGTCACGAGGGAGCATTCACCAAATTCAACTTCAATAACAAAAACATAAAGTGGGACCAAGTAAACCAAGTCCTAACCGATATAAGCTGGGAAGATATACTAAGCAACACAGACCCAAACTTATGCCTAGAACAGATTAACTCGGTGGCACTCGATGTATGCACAAGGCTTATTCCTCTAAGAAAAAGGAGGAGTAGATGTAAAATAGAAAGAGACAGGCGCTCCCTTTACAGGCGACGGAAAAGAATAACAGAGCGGCTAAAAGAGGTCAATATATCTGAAATGCGCAGGGAGACACTGGTCAGAGAAATAGCAAGCATCGAACTTAAGCTAAAAGAATCCTTTAGGAGTCAGGAATCGCGGGAAGAACTAAAAGCCATAATGAAATCGAAAGAAACCCAAAGTATTTCTTCTCCTATGCCAAATCAAAATCGAGAACAACGTCCAGTATTGGGCCCCTACTTAAACAAGATGGGTCCTACACAGATGACAACAAGGAAATGAGTGAGCTACTCAAGTCCCAATATGACTCAGTTTTTAGCAAGCCGCTAACCAGACTGAGAGTCGAAGATCAAAATGAATTTTTTATGAGAGAGCCACAAAATTTGATTAACACAAGCCTATCCGATGTTATCCTGACGCCAAATGACTTCGAACAGGCGATAAATGACATGCCCATGCACTCTGCCCCAGGGCCAGACTCATGGAACTCTGTGTTCATCAAGAACTGCAAGAAGCCCCTATCACGAGCCTTTTCCATCCTATGGAGAGGGAGCATGGACACGGGGTCGTCCCTCAGTTACTAAAAAAAACAGACATAGCCCCACTCCACAAAGGGGGCAGTAAAGCAACAGCAAAGAACTACAGACCAATAGCACTAACATCCCATATCATAAAAATCTTTGAAAGGGTCCTAAGAAGCAAGATCACCACCCATCTAGAAACCCATCAGTTACACAACCCAGGGCAACATGGGTTTAGAACAGGTCGCTCCTGTCTGTCTCAACTACTGGATCACTACGACAAGGTCCTAAATGCACTAGAAGACAAAAAGAATGCAGATGTAATATATACAGACTTTGCAAAAAGCCTTCGACAAGTGTGACCATGGCGTAATAGCGCACAAAATGCGCGCTAAAGGAATAACAGGAAAAGTCGGTCGATGGATCTATAATTTCCTCACTAACAGAACACAGAGAGTAGTCGTCAACAGAGTAAAGTCCGAAGCAGCTACGGTGAAAAGCTCTGTTCCACAAGGCACAGTACTAGCTCCCATCTTGTTCCTCATCCTCATATCCGACATAGACAAGGATGTCAGCCACAGCACCGTGTCTTCCTTTGCAGATGACACCCGAA